GCCATGCAGCGGCTGCTATTGGAGTATAGAATATATACGATCGAAGTGTAGAATGAATAGATGACGAAAATATAGCAAATCGACGAGTATTATTTGATAAACTTTTTGAATAATTTGAAGCTGGAGGAGGAGTAGCAGCGGAAGTAGGTGAAGTTGTAGAAGACAAATAGGAGACTAGTAACGATTGTACGGTGAATTTTTGCGGTGAAGTTAATATTTTTGGTGTTTTATAAAATAGAAGAGTAATAGGAATGATTATGGATAGACCAAGTATACATCTAAAGAATTTGAAACCCTGTAAACAAAAAAACAATGTATTTTAACGTTTATATCGAACGGTACGAATATATAAACTTTAGAGATCTTATCCAGCGGGAGGGCAGTGTGGGCATCGCTCTCTCGAAGAACGATTTTGCCCTCTCGAAAATTGTAATTTTTGTGCCTATACTATGTATTTGCCCTTCAGAAATTAGATTTTCGCCCTCCCAGAAATCGCTATCGCACTCTCGAAAGGAAAAGCCTAGATAAAACACTGATCTTGTCTTACATAATGTTTAAACAAACTATGTTTACAAATACATGATCATCTTTGACAATTGCTTAAATTTGAAGTTAAATAGACTTTCTCTGTATGATAAAATCTTATATTAAAATTATTACATATTGTATAGAATTAGAGTATGAATTTTATTTAATGTCTCTTTTTATGCATTGATCAAGGATAGATATGTGTTGGAAATTAACTTTTAGAAGGCATCGAACGTTTTTGACTTGCAAAGAACAAAACAGATGATTATTATCAAATATGTTTTCTTAAGAATATTTTCTTGAGTAATTTATAATATCTTGAGGAATCCAATAAAAATCTATGAAACTATTTCTTAGTAGTATTACTACCTAGAATCTTCATAATAAAAAAGACACCTACTGCCCTTTTTAATGAAATCATTTTCAGTCTAGTATCTATCTGATTTTGTTAGCTCAACAATAAGGTAATCTTCTTACGAAAGACTTTCCTGTGTTTTCTGACAGGTATATTCAGTATTGATAAGTTAAAATTTTTAAGTTTTATTGAGAGAGAGATGAACAAATATCAAAAGTCATATTGAATAAGAATTATGAAGTTAGAAGACATTGAATATTAATCCCAAACTATATATTTTGTATCTATATTTATGATTCGTGTACTACATAACTGTAAGAAAAAATCAATAAAATAAGTTGAATGTCCTACTAATAATATAATAGCTAAATATTTGTTGATACCTTTAGAATCATCTTTGTGACGTACTCATTACTGCTGATTTGATGTCTTTTATCAGTTTCTAGAAAATTATTTTTCTTTTACGTATACTTCCAACAAATCTATAATCGACATAATGCTTATAATGGACATTAAAGTCATAATGGATATTAAGGCTATAACGGGCATGAAGGTCATCATGGGCATAAAGGACACAATAGAGGGAATGAGTATAATGGACATGAAGCCGGTCTCCTACACTCTAAGAAAATGTCTGGTTTCGAAAATTCAGTGAAATGGATTTTTGCACACTTGGAAAGCGAGTTTTCATTCAGAAAGTTATGTAAGTTTCAGAATGATTCTATGTTTTCCAGACTAGCCTAGTTCATAAGCTGTAGATATCTTTCTGAGTATACAAGCAAATACGATTTTCCCCACATTCTCATCATCACTATCACCCATCTGGCTGCGAGATCGTAAATAGAAATCTAGAATGAGTATTCATTACACCTCCGTCCAGAAAGTCATCCTGTATGTATTTTCTGATACGCTCTTTAGAGAGACGTATGTGTTTGTATTTCTCTTTCTTGGAAATCCTTGCATTAGAAAGCTCAGTTTCAGGGTTGCCAGATCTAAATTTTAGAAATCAGGAGATTTTCCTTAAAAAATAAGGAGAAAAATCAGGAGAGTTTTTTCTTGAACCAAGAACGAAAATACAGCAGTGTGGTGCACTTTTTCCAAAAAAGCAAAACTTTTTATTCTCAAATGTTTACAGTTTTGGTTCTTAACAAGCTAGTTAATGAAACGATCTATCTTACTGAGCAAAACAAAGAAACACATAAAGATAATTACACGTCGTTTAGTTTACTAATTATTTCGAAGCTGTACATTGACAAATACATATAAAACTGACATAAGTGTGTCTTAAGAAACCGCCGAAGAATCGAAACAAAACAAAGTAGAGCACCTACGTCCTTTTTCGATACTATCGCTATACGTTTGTAATTTTCTTCAAAGTGAATCTGTTTGTTTAACAATTCTACACTATTTCACAGATTTACTCATTTTAATTTTGAGCTCGACATCCATTAAGATTATTTTTTTATTCTATTCCTATTATCATATCGTCAAAATTTTGTGTAACTGGAACTTTGGCTCATGATTAGTTCTTTAAACTCATTATTTATCGACTCATGGTAGCACTAGAATCAGATAGAATCTAACAAGATCGACCAGCCCGTAGAGATATTATTTAATTATTTATTGTAATGCTCAGTTATAAATATGGTTTTTGTTGCATGTGTCATATATGCTCTCCGAAAATATACCCTCATACAAAACTCTTTTCTCTATTTATTTCTTTTTTATCATATCTTGTATAAAATTTATTGTCGAGTGAAATATAACTTCAGAGTTTTATTACATTGTGATCATTTTACCATACTGAAATAAAACGCTTAAATGATATCTCTACTAGACAATAAATTTCATACAAAGTATGATAGCACAGAAATAAAAATGGGAGACAGATTTATTTTGTTCGTAGGTGTATCTCATATTTTTATGAAGTTTTTGTCAAAAGAATTAGAGACATATGACACTGATTTGGCGCTACCTGATTTGCTATCATATACATATAGTTGTGACTACTCTTTTTTTTCTCATTTTTTGTACATAAAACGTCGTCAGAACTTAAGTAAGAAAAGAATTAAAAATCAGGAGGTTTGGCAACCCTGCTCAGTTTATTTCTAAAAATTAAAATACTTTCCGGACACTTATCTAGTTTTCTATGGCCTATAATTCGCTGGAACAAATAGAACATAATATCGATCAGTTATCTATTTTATATTTATGATTATTTGTTATAAGATAATATTATGAATTCATAATTTATTTCATTTAGTTTATATGATATATTCTCTTCATAATAAAACTATTATATAGTGAACATTATAAATATTATGCCTATTAAATAATAAAGTAACTCACCATGAAAGATCAATATTTAATAATATTTCATCATTATCCGAAATTTATAAGTCTTTATTTCCATTTTTTCTTGAAAATTTCATTTTATTATAACCGTTTTTGTACTTTTAAAAAAGTGTTTACGAGTTCGTTCGTGCACATGTTTCATTATGTACACAAAAAAAAACAGGTAGAAGAAGGAGAAAAAAAAATTCTTTTTAAACGTTTTCAGTATTTTATTGATGTTAATAAATCTATCAAACTTTAGTAAAATTCATAATTTATGAGAACATATAAAACGAAAATTTGAAAAAGTTGATATGTACTCTAATCATCGATGTTACTTTTATATATGATGCTGAAAGAGAGTATATTTTCAGCGAATAGAAATAATATATTCATAATCAACGTGATCAATTACTCTATTCATCATTGAGATCTCGAGAGAATAACTCTAATATTAAACAAGTATTTTAATAAAACAAAACTGAGAATAAAATTATGTTCTTTCGTTCAATTAGAAGAATATTGAAATGATATCATAATAAATAGATTGAGAATGATGATTGATTCATTTGATTATAATATTAATTTAATATCAATATATTTGTAGTCTATTTTGAATACAAAATTTTTTTTTCTTCTTTGATTCTGTCTCGTCGATGATTTTCTTATATATTCAAACATTATACAACGAGTATGGCTCTGTTTGTTCCCATCATTTTGCCTTTTCTTCTTTATGCTGGATTTCACTTTGTGTACTCAGCAGACTTTTTTTCTTTCATTTCCTTTACCTATTCTACCACTACTATCAATGTACGCTGTCTTTTCGCTATAAACATGTTCTCGCTCGGAAGAATGATGTATAGACCTCCACATACGCAATACATCTAAAATATTTCTTCCTCTCTCTCTTCAAATGAATAGATGAAGACAAGTTGACGATAGAACTGATTCCATTATTTCTTCAGCAATATGACAATTAATAATCAATTACTCGAAACAAATCAAACAGTATGCTTTGGATCTATAACTATTCCTTCTTTTTTTAAATATATTCATATATATTCTAGACAGGATCAAGTCGTATGAAATCAGCATTTCTTCTATTATGTATTGCTTTGTTAATTGTTTCAATTACATTATATTTAAACACAAATATTACTTGGGAGACATTACATACCTACTTAATAAATAATCGTATTATAGCCACATATCCCTCAGTAAATGCAACAGAAGAAATATCTAAAATACATGTGAACCGTCAGTTTGCAATATTTGCTTGTTCAATTCATTCTTCAGTTCAGTCATATTCGTTTTATACTCCTATAACAGCGTCAAGTTGGAATCGAGTTGGTTATAACGCAATAGTTATATTTGTTGGAGATTTTACTCTTCCCAATGTTCTTACAGCTCGTTTGAAATTATCACGTGCTTATTTAAAACACGTTGGTGCTCATGTTTTAGATGTACAATGTAATGCTTCATACGCTGTTAAATTATCTCAATTAGTACGTGTATTTAGTGGGTTTTTACCAGATTCAATTGTTCATGATGATGATTATATATTAACAGGTGATAGTGATTTAATGCCATTGAAAATAAATGGATATACACTGACAAATGGAACAGATGGATTTATTTTTAATGCTTTATGTTGTGGTACATTTAAACGACGTGGGAAATCATATCGAATGTATCCAAGTTAGTATATTAGTTCCGAATAGACTTCCTATAAAGTTCAAAATTTACCTGTCAATACTTTCACTTCTTACCTGAGGCATTACGTATTTCTGTCTATTGACATAACTAACACAGGTCAACATTTATAATAAGGTATTGATTTAACTTTTTGTTCTGATAACTAATCACTTTGAACCATAAATTCAAATACTGAAGAAGGACGCTTAAAATCATTTCTTTTGTATTTTGAGAACTTCGAATATCTATTTTTAGAAAGAAAAATCGTCTCAAGAGCATTATTATATCTTTGTTTTTACTTAAGATAAATACTAGCATGAATCTATTTGTCATTAGTATTATTATTTTGAAAATCTTCAATATGTATATAGTAGAATTAATACTAAACCATATTTAGTGTAATCTAAGATTAAAATGTTTTGATATTATAGAAGATTTTTGTCTGATGGCGAGTTTATTTTATACATTTACATGATAACTAGAAAAAAAAACTATTCATATTTTGTATTATAGTCTTGGAAATATAATACAGTTTTTGTTCTCTTTTAACTCTCTCTCTTGACATATCAATTACCTTATTCTTTCACTCTCAAGCAAACAGAAAAAAACACTTCACTTATACTTATCGGTGACATGAGCAGACAAATATATAACTCGAATTCAATGGCTTCTTTTCTTCATTTTCAATTAAAATAACATGATATTAAAACGTGATGATGCGGTAATATTTTTTTACTACAACTAATATTTACTTTTATCGATCTTTCAAGTCATTTACATATTGGAATTTTGTGCAGAAAATGAAAAAATAAAATAACAAATCAACAGATCTATAATATAAAAGAACTTTTTGTTTCTGAGATTTCATTCTATAAGAAAGATATGAAGAAGTATTCTTTGAGATTATCAATCATTAGATTTTAGTTGAATCCATATAAGATGATTAGACCTCATGGACAATAGATGAATACTTATGAACTATTACAAATATGTCTAAGAAGAAAGAATGTGTGAGTAGGCTTCTTTCGTCTGTGTTATATTTCATATTTTCGATGATATTGGATGACTCTCATCGATAACTCAAAACGTGATTATATTGTATAAATTCAAATGAAACACTACAATGTGATTATCAGTAACTTGATACAAGCAGTAGAAATCTATTGTATAGTATAGAAGAGATATTGTCATAAAATAACTGATGCTCAGTATAGAAGACAATAGATTTTACGTTATTAAAAGTTTCTGTTGTATAGAGAGTATATTCAGTGTCGACATACCATTTTTCTTACTGAAAGAAAAAGCAGAGAAGCAGTTCTAAGAATAGAATTATATCTAGAAACTAGAAGAATTTGACATTATCAAATAGTAAAGACTAACATGCTATTATTCCAAATCCTGTTTATAGATCGAAATTATGGATTATTATAATAGTCTATCGTTTACTGATAAGATGAAAGGTTGACTTAATTATCAAAACTAACTCAGTTTTATTTGTAAATTATATTATGTACAGATATTTTTAAAGCAATTTTCTTTCTAGTGGGTCATATCTATTTGAAAAAGAAAGTTTGGCGAGCAATGATATTGGAATCAAAACAACGAGCCGAACTTCTTGCAAATACTGATGAACAAAAACAAAAATTATTAAGTGAAAATGCATCAGTATCATTTGAAACAGTAAGTATTTATGTCAGACATGAATTTAAAGACACTTATGATAATAATATGGTAAAAGGTGATTCAGCTTGGTATATGGATCAAGTTCTATGTTCAATGTTATTAGCAGACTATTGTGAGAAACATAAAAATTTTAAAATTGATGAACGTGGCCGTCCTCCCCGTCTTGATCGCAGTCATGGCATTAAATATTGGAATCGTGATAAATTCGATGAATTTGGTGATGCACATTTACTACACGATGCGATCTTACACGAACCTAATTGGATAATCTTTAATAGATTACTTAAAACTTTATTTAATGAAACTCTTATTAATTTATTTAATGATTATTACAAACAATATATAATTGCTAAACAATAGTAAAACAAATGATTATAAAAATACAAAGAATTGTTATTGTTTTACTTTTTTGTTTGATATGTGATATTATTTTTTTTTATTTTATGTTATTAAACAATTTCCTCAATAAAATACAACGGTATACTTGACAGGAAATAAATTATATTTTTTATCTATAGATGGCGTTAGTGTACATAATAATATTGCAATAAATTATATATTAATTTTTAGTATTCATCATTTAAATGAAAAATAATCTTTTTTCTTTCGATAAAATATTATATGTGATATTGAAAAAATCTTGTTCGATTTTTATTAGTGAAATGTAAGAACCAATAAGAATTATCGTTTACGTCTTTGTTCATTTCGTTTATGGTCTCTTTGTTCGTATCAGTCATCATTCTGTTTGTCAAAATAACGTTTTCGTGTTAACAATTATGAGTTACTTTTTGAAATATGTCGAAATTGATAATTTCAAATCGTACAAAGGACATATTGTTATCGGTCCATTACGAAAATTTACAGCTATTATTGGACCAAATGGATCTGGTTTGTTTTAAATCAATGAAAAAAACTATTTTCTAAAAATTTCCTTTTTTTCCAGGTAAATCAAATCTTATGGATGCTATTAGTTTTGTTCTTGGTGAACCAACAAAAAGTTTACGTGTCCGAAAATTATCTGTAAGATTTCTTTTGTTTTATTCAATTATAAAAAAAACACTTCTGTCTTTCTAAAGGAACTAATTCATGGTGCACCAATTAATAAACCTGTTAGCAATCGTGCATCAGTTTCATTAATATTTGTTTCAATTAAAACTGATCGTCATGGTGGACGTACTGAACATGAAAAACGTTTTCAACGTTTAATTGTTGGAAATGCATCCGAATATCGTGTTGATAGTCGTCAATTATCCGCAACTGAATATACCGAAGAACTTGAAAATATGGGTATTATACCAAAAGCAAAAAATTTCCTTATTTTTCAAGGACAAGTTGAATCAATTGCAATGAAAACACCAAAAGAATTTACAGCTATGTTCGAAGAATTAAGTCGTAGTGGAGAATTACGTGATGAATATGAACAAGCTAAACAAGAAAAAAATAAAGCTGAACAAGATACACATGCTAATTTTCAAAAGAAGAAAGGTGTTGAAAAACAAAAGAAAGAAGTTCGATTAGAAAAAGAAGTCGCACAAAAATATGCAGCATTAAAAACTCAATATGTAAAAAGATAAAACTATCAAATCAAAATTTTATTTATTTTTATATTTAGGATGAATTACAATTACAATTGAAATTATTTCAATTATATCATAATAAACAAGAATTAGTTGAAAAACGTGAAATATCTGATAAGAAAAAAGATGAAGTAGCCAAATTAGAAAAACGAAAAGAAGTATCTGATGAAGATATTAAAGCGAAAAAGAAAGAATTAGCTTCTTATAATAAAGAACTGACAAATGATGAACAAAAAGTGAAAGAATTAGTAAGTTTTTTATTGATGAAAATTTCGAATATACAGAATGAAATTTTTTTATAGGAAGCACAAATTAATAAACATCGTCCAACTTATATTAAAGCGAAAGAAAATTCAACGCATCATCAGAAAAAATTGGATCTTGCAAAGTAAGAGAAATTGCCGAATGTATAATTAATAGTACGAAATTTCGATATTACTTATCAGTTCAGTGCAGGCATTTAGTGAACCTGAACGTTCGGGGGGTGTAGCACAACTTGTTTGAAATCGTTAGATAAGAAGAATTCAAAACTTTAAAAAAATCCCGAACCCGAACCCGAACCCGAACCCGAACCCGAACCGGAAGTTCGGATTCGGTACATGCCTAGTTCAATTTGAGTATTATTTCCGTGTGTAAAATCTTCATTGATCTGATACTATTAATTATTTCGTATTTTAATAACTTTTTTATTCGTTTAGAAAAACATTACTGTCTGCTGAAAAAACTCATGCGGCTCATGATGAAGAAATTGATAAATATGAAAGTGATTTACATGAAGTTGAACGTTTAAAACAAGAATATGAAGAGAAATTACAAGATGAATCACAACATAGTGGTCGTAATTTAGCATTAGAAGAAAATCAAGTAAATTATTAGTTTTATTGAAGAAAAAAAAGGTTTTCATTTTCTTCTATTCTTAGATGAAAGAATATCGACGTTTGAAAGAAGAAGCAGCTAAAAAAATGACACAATTTACTGAAGAATATGATTCAATTGATCGTCAACAACAAGTTGATAAAACAAATCTTGATCAAGAACAACGTAGTCAAAAAGATCATATGGCTAGAATAAAACAAACTGAATTACGTATTGAAGAATTAAATGGAAAAATTGATAAACTGGGTGGTTATATTGCGTAAATAAATAATTGATAAATTTTAATTTTTTCGAAATAATTTAAATATATATTTTTAGTGATCTTGAACGTGAATTTAATGAAAAACAAACCAATGTACAATTACTTGAAAAAGAAGTTACGGAAGGTCGAAAACGTTGTGCAGAACTTGAAGAAGAACTTGATCAAGTTAATAAAGAAATTGGTGAAGCACGCGTATGTTTTATCTATAAAAATATTTGTTAAAAGTAAATGTTATTGTTAATAATTATAGTCTGATCGAAATGAAACTAGTCGTGCACAACGACGTGCTGAATTAATTGAAAATCTTAAACAATTTCCAGGCGTGGTATGTACATATCAACTCACAATTAATAGAAGTGTATTTCCGTATACATACGAGCTAAAATGAATAGTAGTCAGCAGGATGTCGAATAGAACTTAGAAGAAAAATGTTTCTATACACTTTGTTTAACCTAACAAAATGTCCCTGTACACTATGTTTTTGAAAGTAGAGTGTATCAAAGTGTATAAATTGAATTTAATTATAATCTTGGAATATAGAAAGTGTTCATATTTTTTTCTAATGAAGAATGTAAAACAAATGCATACTAAATAATACTAAATACACAATCAATACGCACACAATTATGTAATCTGACATGAATAGGAATATTTTCTGTATTATTTGTCGATATTAATTTCAATATCTATTTAAATTTACACAAAAAAAACAATTTATTGCTTAAGGGGACATCCCTCTTTCCGGGGTTTCACGGAGATCGCAAGGCAAAAATTCTTGAAATTTCCAGGATGGATAGGTCTCGAGCAGTAGAGAAAAATTTGTCATAAACTCAAAGTTGCCAGATGCCGTCTTCATGGGCTAGTGGAGATCCCACGGTCCAAAAATAGCTTAAAGTTTTCCCCCGCCAAATCCACAGATTTCAATATTTTGAGCTGAAATTTTTATTGTGGGTAGCAGGCCTAAACCGAGGTGCCTTTTTTTTAAATTCCTAAAACTTCAGGCAATAGAGCCAGAATACTAAAGACTTCGAAAAATCTCTAGCATTTTAGGTTCTTGAAAATTTTGCAAATCCTGCCAGGGTTTATTGGTAAGAGCTACCGGCAAAAAAGACAGCCAACTCAAATCAGTTAAAGTCCCACGAAAAAAATTTTCGGCCCGATCGGACTGAAAGTGGCTGAGAAAAGGAGGTAAAACGTTTTTGGCACCCAAAAATCTAGTTTCTAGGAAAACGCGTTCTTCTTTCGTTTTTTAGCATTTTTTGACAGAAAAAACGAACTTTTTTCAGATTTTTCACCTATAAAGGTAGGTTTTCGGTTTTGCAAAGAGGGTTCGCATATAGAGGGCATTCATATCTATACCTAGATGTGAAAAAAATTTCGAAAAATTTTGTTAGGGAAGGGGATGTCCTCTTAAAAACAAAGTGTTAATTTTATTCGCAGAGTGTATTGTGTACATTTTGTTATCGCCAGCAACGTGTAAAACAGCGTGTATTTCGAAAGTCGCAAGTGTTTCACCCATTTTTCCTCTGCTGTGTACACTTGCCATTCGGAATCCTGGTAGTCAGTCTGTTATCATTCTAAAGTGTTAATCTATGTCTGCTGAGAGTAGACGAGTAAAAAAAAATATATATATTTAATTTAGTATGGTCGTTTAATCGATCTTTGTGAACCAACTCATAAACGTTTTCAAATGGCAATAACAAAAGTTCTTGGTCGTAATATGGATTCGATTGTTGTTGAACGTGAAACAACAGTTCAATCATGTTTACGTTATATGAAAGAACATCGTTATGAACCTGAAACATTTTTACCGCTTGATTATATAAAAGTAACACCAGTGAATGAACAACTTCGGTTTGTTTTATTTATTTTTCTGTATAGTTTAATATTAAAAATTATTGCTTTTTTTTCTAGAGAATTACAAGAACCTAAAAATGTTAAACTTGTTCTTGATGTTATTAAATATGATAAACAATATTATAAAGCATTACTTTATGCATGTGGTAATGCACTTGTTTGTGATAATGATGATGATGCACGAAGACTTGCATATGAAAGTGGAAGTCAAAAGAATAAAGTTGTTTCATTAAATGGTACACTTTTTAGTAAATCAGGAGTTATTTCAGGTGGATCAAGGTATAGAAAATGACAATTTATTTTTTTTTAAGTTTATTTTTATTTTTCTAGTGAGTTAAAAGCTCGTGCTAAACGTTGGGATGAAAAACATCTTGATGCATTACGTGCACGTAAAGATAAACTATTTGATGAATATAAAGAACAACAAAAGAAAAAACGACGTGAAGCAGAATTAATTAATGCAAGGTTAGTAGTAGTAGAATGAAAGAAGATAAATTCTATGATTTTTTTTTGTTTTCTTAGAGCACAATTACAACAACTTGAAAGTCGTTTACGTTATTCAAGAACGGATAAAGAAACAGCTGAAAAGAAACAAAGAATTTTAATTGACAAAGATCTTGTCGATTTTAATGATAAACTTGATGCATATGAGGTTAGTTATTAGTTTAAAAATTATATAATAAACTTTTTAATCGAGTTCGCCTTAAAATATAATAGTTTTCATTATTGAAACTTTATCAGGGAATTTTGCCAATATACTTATAGGAAATTCGTTAGTGTCACTATGTGATTACATATGTATAAAAATAGCTTCTGTCAGCTATATTGAGTGGTTTAGACTATAATATGCTTATTCTGATGATATTAAGTTAAATGTTCACATGCATTTTACATTAATCTTGTTTTCTTACAGTTGGTGAAAATGCACTAGACTTACGCCAAATCGCGCCTGAACTTTCGCTAATTGGCGAATGTCTATCGTAGTTTCGCCAACGGCGGATGTTTTGTTGGCGAAGAGATAGTAAGCCGGTTGCATCAATAGAGTGTGTAGACGATGAAAATCGTTTATATCATCAAGAGCCAATCTGTTGCTCTCGAATTCAGTGTTTTATCCAACGGTTGAGTTGGGTGAGCGGCGCCTATCAGAAATTTCGATTCGCTCATCCGACATTTCGATTTACACACTTGAAAAAAGAAACCTAGACAAAACACTACTCAAATCTGCTGACATTGTTTATGTATACTCAATTATTTGAGATTAATGTTAAGATCAGAATGCTCGATCGTTGATCTATCTGATCGTGAATTTTGCATGACCCTCTTCTCTAAAATTATTGATAATACTTATTCCATTAAAATTTACTATATAAAATTTTAGCCTAAAATCAATGTATTACAAGCAACGATTGATGAACGAGAAAAACGTATATCGAAATTACGTGTACAAAAGAATAAAATTGAAGATGCTATATTTGCTGAATTTTGTAAACAAATTCATGTATCAAATATTCGGTAAATTTTTTCGTTTATTTTATTTAAAATATATTAATTATCTTTTATTTTTTCAAGTGTTTATGAAGATCGTGAATTACAAGCAGCTGAAAAACGTGCACAAGAACGTCTTGAATTCGAAAATCAAATAACAAAAATTCAAACAATGCTTGAATTTGAACGTTCACGTGATACAGCAGGTCATGTTGAAAAAATTAAACACGAAGTATCAACTTTAGAAGATGCATTACAAAAATGTCAAAAAAATGAAAAAAAATATCGTAAAGTATGTATAATTTCATTTTTATATTCTCGCAAAAATTCATTCGATTATATTTAAGGTAATCGAAGATCTTCAACATGAAATTGGTGAAATCAAAGATCGTTTACTTGATCAAAAGAAAAAAATTGAATTTCAAGAACGTGAAATATCCGATTGTACAAAACGTGCTGCACAATTAAATAAAGATTATAATGAACAACGAAAACGATTACAACTTATTGAAAGTGACATTGAAAAATTACGCATGGATAGACATAATTATTTTCGTACCGCTAAGGTATTTGTTGATCCGAAATATATTTTTATTTAATTTTTGTTAATTTTCTTAGATTACTGAAATTGTACTACCATTTCGTGGTAATGCTGGTTCAATGGCTGCTATTTCGCTTGCTGAAACATCGTCATCTGATGATACAAATACTCATACACAATCAACAACGGATTCATCAACAATATCAAATGGTGATGGAAATTCAACTAGTCAATATGAAACCAAACAAATTTATGATATGGAAGATAAATTCGAATTAAATTATAAACGTTTACGTGATGATTTGAAAAAAATTAATTATGAACAAGTTGATAAAGAAGAAAAATTATTAATTAAACAAATGTCTGATATTGAAATGCAATTACAAAAACATTTACCCCAAACATCAGCTATTGATGCACGTTCACGTGAAGTTAAAACAACATTTGAATTAACAAATGCAGAATTTGAACGTGCACGTAATGCAGCTAAGCGTGCACGACAAGCATTTGAAAAAATTAAAAAAGAACGTTATGATCGTTTTAATTCATTATATGAACATGTTTCAACATGTATTGATGATATTTATAAATCATTAACAAATTCACAAGCGGCTGTTGCTTGTTTAACTGCGGAAGATGCGGAAGAACCATATCGTGGTGGGATTACATATAATTGTGTTGCACCTGGTAAACGTTTTCAAGCTATGGAAAATTTATCTGGTGGAGAAAAAACTGTTGCAGCTATTTGTCTTTTATTTGCTTTGAGAAGGTATTGAATATATTTAGTTTTATTTCATATGCAAAAATTCTTTCTTGTCTTTAGCTTTAAACCAGCTCCATTCTTTTTACTTGATGAAGTTGATGCTGCTCTTGATAATACAAATATTGGTAAAGTTGCTGATTTTATTCGTGAACAATCAGCTTCTGAATTTCAATGTATTGTTATTTCACTTAAAGAACAATTTTATTCACGTGCTGATGCACTTGTTGGTATTTATCCGGAGGTAAATTTAATTGATTGTTCTTTTATTTTTATCTTATTAATTAATATTTTTCTTTTAGCCCGGCGATTGTATTACTAGTCATTGCTTGACATTAGATTTAAATCAATTTGATGAACGAGAAAATATTGCAAATACACGTAGTTAAATCTGACATGATGATGTTTTTTTGTTTTGTTTTTGTAGATACGTATTATATGTTTTCATTTTGTTTGTGCGTGTTGTATATAAGCTATTGTGTGTTTAGTTCCGGAAAATAATTGAAAATAAAGCTATATAAAATATCAGAGAAGTTGTGTCATTATTTATAAAATAGATTCTGATATACATTAACTTTTAATAATAATATGTTACTAGTACGAAGTTCTATATTAAAACTTGTAGTAATACTACTCCACATTTACATATAACAAAATACAAGTAGTTTGCTTTTTAAAATAGATATTCAGTCTTACGTTTAAGTCTTGTTTGTTGATTTATTCACATACACAGATATATTAGTCTAGATATTATTCCTGGGTGATCTTTTACAAAGTAGCAAGAATATATTTTATTTGAAAAGAAAACGATATGAATACAAACAATTGATTTGAACGTTCATGGTAACAATTGACACAGTAATTTTATCTAGTTATCATTGCTTCGTATAGCTGAACATAGATTTCTATTCAAACAAACAATAAAAGAATTAATTTCATCATGCTGGAACTTTTATGTAAACTTGTAATCATTTTTCGAATTATGTCCTATATGTTAAAATATCGACCATTGTGATCGTCGGTCTATGAATGTATTATTTTGCAAACGATTATTTATTCTTGTTGTACACATATATGGCGATTGTTTACAGACTAAAATGAAATTGAAGAAACGAATATTTCTATGACGAGAAGTTCATATCTATATTTTTAAGAAATCGATGAAATATTAGTAACGAAATAAAAATATAATCGAATAACTTTGTTTTTTGTATGATCATTCGATATCATCTGCCTTTTTTTTCGAACAATGACTGTCGAAAACAAATTAAAAATAATGCATTGTTCCATAAGAATTCTTTTCTTGTTTTTTTTCCTACTTTTGTATCGTTTCTTCTCCTATTAATACAATTTACATACATGCCTAGTAAAAAAATGCAGACTTGAAACTAGAGGTATTACTTTATGTTCTCTACATAACTAAAGATAAAGATAATCTTTATTTGCAAAAATAAACAATACAGATACATTTGGTCACGCGATAAATACATATACAAATAACTTGTTAAATAACAGAATACCTTTACTGGTATTCTTTCTTATCATTTCTACATGCCATATCATCAAAAAAAAGGATCACACAAGAAACGATATATAAGGAAAATGTTATTTCGTATTATAGCTAAGTATATAATATCATAATTTTTTGTGAGCTACTCCAAAAATAAAAAAGTACGTTTCGATAAAAAAATTCTTTATTTTTAAAATAAAGATAAATTAACACCTCTACTTACAACATCGCGGAAAAGCCAGGCGAAAAATTATCGAATGGCGGAGGACAACATTTCTCATTATCGCTCATCATTACGCAACAGTCGTCTATCACAACTCATTTCTGTACGTAATTTTTCTTATAAAATACATCAAATTATCTGTATATAGTATTTTTTATTAGAAACCTAGAGATGTTAAAAAACCACATGGATCAGGTCCGTTGGAATCGACAACTGAATTAGGTTATCTTGATTCATCTCGAATTTATGTTGATGGTCAATACTCGGGATTGGGTTCAGAACTAATCTGTTCGATTTGTCACAATGTTTTGTGGAAGCCAGTAGCTTGCTCTACTTGTGAAAATGCTTTTTGTGTTAAATGCATTCGATCATGGACTGATAAACAGATTGATTATCGTGCCACATGTCCATTCAATTGTGTATTCAAAGAAAAACGAGTTCCACCTATTCTGAATAGTTTATTGTCCAAACTTCAATTTTATTGTGCTTATGCTTCGAATGGTTGTGAACAATTACTTCCATATGATGCTCTAGAAAAACACGAAGAAACATGTTCATATGAACGAATACCATGTGGAATTTGTGAAAAACCTATATCAAATCGAGATCCAAACAATAAACATGAACTTCGCGAATGCTTTAAAGACATGCATGATAGAAGTCCTCAACAAATTCAGGCACAATTTATGAAGTTATTGGATGTTATCGAAGCTAGTCAACGGCGCATTGAAGCACTTGAAAAACTAGTGAGCATTCCCAAACAAAGAAAATAATAAGGAGTATCTATCTTGAAATTTAACAGTTTTTTTTTGAAGTCTTATATTTTAATAATAAATTGAAACAATCTTTTTGATGAATATCATCTGTACTTTAAAGCAAATTTTATATAATTCTTCGTTAGCTAAACATCTTATAAAGGATATAAGGAGCGATTGTACCATCTATTTCATAATAAGAATATGTTACTGTTTTTGTTATTAAGTATATTTTATTTCAAGTAAACATGTTTCTCTTGTTATATATAAAAAAATGGAATCAGTTTTACGAATGCATCTACACAATACTTGTTTCTGTATAAATACAGATTAAAAATAGAAAAAGAATCATATATGTAGTATACATTAACACCAAACTTTTAATATTATCGATCATTTGAATAATTAATTCAATCGTTTGTAGACTTTAATACCAAAAACACAAAGACCAGCTATGGTCAAAAACATAAGGAAGAATACGCTTAACCATAGGCCACTGATTGAACCACCTAATTCATGACATATTAATGTATCCGTCTTATAAATCAAAGATAACGGTAAAGGACAGCTATCCAAGGTTAATTCAAATACGTTTTTTACATAATCATTAAACTAAAAATAAACAAAATCTCAATGTTTTTATAAATTCATTTTCGACTAATTAATTAACTAACCTTCTTAATAGTTGAATTAACAAGAGTTTGTGGTAATGTTGGTTCTGCTACACTAATATTTTTTAAGACCGTTTCAATCGTACTTAAATTTCCATTAATCTGATTGACTTTAATTGTAATATTTGGTATATTAGCTTCATTAATAAATTGAGTAAGTAATGTAATTTCATTAGGAATATTTATTTCTCCAGTTGATTTAATAAATTCTTCAAAAATTTCTTTATTTAATTCATTCATCATATCGTTTATATAACGATCTAAAGTAGACCAATAATTATCGATCATTCTTATCGTAAAATGAACTTTATCACGACAATCATCAATAACATTCAATACTGTTGTATTTATATCTGAACCATTGAAAAACGAAGTATGTGTTCCACCAATTTTATCTAAAATAATTTCAAAATGAATCTTTGTTTTTTTCAAGAAAATATTTACCAGTAACAAATGAAACTAAAAATGGTTGATCATCATGAACTGATCGACAAGCACCTTGAATACTAAGATCCAAAGCATAATAAACCCCACTGAGAATGACCATAATAATAAATATAATAACCATTATAGAATATGCAAGACGCATTAAACAAGGTACTACACATGATGAATTCTTATTTGTATATTCAAAGTCTTCGTCCTGTGAATAACTATCTTGTCGTCTAGAAAAATAAAGTGTTCTAGGTAAGTTAAAAAAAATAAAATGAAATAACTTACGAATAACCATGATGTGATTTATGTTGATGACTACCATTCATAGAAGAAACATCTGATATTCTTCTCATTCTAAGATCATGACTATAAAAATAAAATACACTTAATAAATTAATATTCAGAATTACATACGGAGTTTTATTTGATGATTCGGTTCGATCACATCGACATAAATGAGCTAATATAAGGAAGATTAGAAAACCAACAGGAATAAGAACAACAAATATGATCAATATAAGGAAAACTGTTCCAATTGAACTAATATATCCTCGAATTTCTTCTTCAAATTCTATATTCATAAACAACGGGTTATCCGATGGTAAGATTTTCTCAAGAATATCGTAATCAATTGTAGTAATAACTTTTCTTAAATAATCATGAACAAGATTTAATGCATTTAATAATATGATATCAATATCTGTTTGTGATTGGCTTGCATAATTACAAATTTCTTCTAATGGTATTTGTAAAGAATTAATCATATTATTATATTCTTTTTTAGCATTTTCATATATTTCTTTAGCAGATGGTGATATACTTGTATAATCTGCTACAATAATATCTAAATCTTTAATATTTGTATGAATATTATTTAGTGAGTCAGTAATATTTCGTATAAAATATTTTTCTTTTAAAATTTTATCAAATGTTTCAACTAATATTGATTTCGACGCATTGATTAGAATTGAATCATCTGAAAATAATCATATATATATTTGAAATGAAATTTTTATGAGGTTAACATACGTTGTATACAATATTGATCTAAATTTACAATTTGTTGTCGTAAATAAATGAAATGTTCACGTATTTCTTTTGGATAAATATCTCGATTAACTTGTTTGATTGTAGTATCAATAGATCCATTGGATTTATTTACTCGATAAGCGACATAAATCATATCACCTAATGCAACTAAATAAAGGATAATGACAAGACATGTACAGATTTGTGTAGTTTTCGATTGTTCTCGTTTTCTTCCCTACAAAAAACAAAAAGTGAATAATTTATTTTTTAAAGAAATCAAATTCGTACTCTCTGTTTCTTGGATTTGAGACATGAAAAAATACAAAAATTCAATGAAAGACTGAAGATTAAACCAAGAATGATACTTGTATAAATGATGATTGAAGGGATTGGTTTAATTTTAGTGATTTCAGAAATATTACTCCATGATTGACTATCTGTATCAAATATGGTTTTTAATGTTGTTCGAACATCATCGATAGAAAATGCTGAATTGATTATTGAAGTTGATATGATTTGTGCAAGACCACCAGTACCAGGATTATAACTACTTGGATGAATAGATGCATTCGAATTATTGGCAAGTATTGGTACCGATGGTAAGGATGGATACGTATCGAGACATGTGAGATTTATAGCCATCGGATTAAGTGACGAAAATATGCAAAATAAAAATGTTTCTCTTGTGATGCTCTAAACAATTTCGTTTTTTTTTCGAAGTAATTTCTTAGTAAAGAATATTTATATAACAACTATTACTCTTATCAACTTTTGATCTTTCATATAGATAAGATATATATATATGGTGAAAAATGTTTCGTCATCTTCCATGAGTCAATAATACACAAAAACATTTTACATAGAAACAGAAGTGATAAGATGATACACAATGATTTTTACTTTAATATTAACTACGTAGATATTGTCTTAAAATAGAAAAAAAATAGCATTATTCGGATTAAGCAATTAAATTATTAGAAGTTTAATAAGTTGTTCGTCGACTCTAAAATCATGCATATTTGAATCGTTGTAATAGGTTATAAAAAATAATTATTGATTTATGTGTCCGAAGTTCATTATACTTTAAGTTTAATTCTAAAAGCAATTAATATTTTTATAACAGAGATTACTAGTTTATTTCAACACTTTAGAATGCATTTTTGTACACAATCGGTATTGTTTTATTTGAATAGAACTGTTGCTAAAATCAATTTATTGTTAAAAATCTGATTCTGATTTTATATGATTCGTTGCATTTACGTATTTCTCCAAGCGATCTAGTATATAATCGGCAATAATTTAAAATATAGGACAATATGTAACTTCAAATTACGAAACGTATGATGGAAACAGTCAGATAATTCTATTTATATATTTATGTTTTAACCGCACTATATAAAAACCAAGTCTTATCTAATTTTGGTAATAAAAGCTTGCAATCATTTATTTGATTGAATTCTGTTAAACTAGATAGTACGAAGGAGTTCATCAATCTAAAAGAATTTTAGAGTAAAAAGCATGACAATTCTAACCTAAAAAGCAGCTTAGTCTTATATTTCAGATGTTTTATCTTATAGATTATTCAAAAATAGTCATGTTTTCTTTACCTTTATATTACTTTTCTAATTAACAAATTATAAATAGTATTTATCATTTCTCACACTTTATATTTAAAGAACTACCACATTTGAATAAAACATTATAATCATCATAATTGATTTGCAAACAACACATGCTCGCGCAAATTGCTGTAGAAGCCACACGAGTGGTATTAATTTTATTCATCATTTTGGGCACATTTGGTAATGTACTCAATTTATTTATATTTACTCGACCTACACTTTTAAAATCACCATGTACATTATATCTTCTTGCTGCTTCAATTGACAATATTCTAGTCATTTATACAACATTATTAACACGATTACTTGCAAATGGTTTTTCTATTGATATAACTATTACATCCAATGCTGTATGTAAACTACGAAGTTATGTTGGATATGTTTTCTTTGCTGTGTCACCATATTTTTTCGTTTTGGCTTGTTTTGATCGATATTGTTCAAGCTCACCATCAGCAGCATATCGATCATGGAGTAATAAGAAAGTAGCAAAACGATTAATTATTGGAGCAATTACATTAGCTTGTATTTTATATTTTCATATGGCAATATTTTTTGAAATACAATCAGGCGAGGGTGGATTATCTTGTAATTGTCGACCAGGAATTTATGAAATATTCTGGCGAATATTTTATTTAATTGTGATG